ARSYWAAMCMMMAATACACYCTTTTCCTTTTTATTTGTCAGAAAATGTCTGTTGTAAAGGAAATTTTGATATTGAATCTTTTTGTGCATAAAATATCAAAAAAGATTTCAAATAACTATGCTTTCGTATATATGTCTTTTTTTAATGGACTTAATGATAATTTTATTACAGTCATTCAAAAAGAAATGATCGCTTACATTGAAAATCAATATSCCGAATGCATCATGGGTAGTGTTCGCTCTTTTCTTAATAAATAAGCTTGAAAATCGATCAAACTAAGGTTATACTCCTTTAAGGTCATTCAAACGTATTTTGTAGTTTCATTGCAAATATAAGCAGTACATTTGAAATATCACCTACCCTATACATTTATACATTTATGAATGTTCCAGTAGCCAGAATTTCTTCAAATGACTGACTAATGAATATACATAAACATTTTCAATCCATTCAAGTATTTGCCAAATACTTAAATGGATTGAAAATGTTTATGTATATCCATATTCTTTCATCGCAGAAAGCATAGTTATTTTAAAATGTGTGTGAGCTGCGTCGGTGTTTCTAAAGAAACAGCAAAAAAACAAAAAAATTATTTCACCTACTTTTTTATGGTGTTAATTTTATCTTTTTACACTATAGTTATTTTACCCATACATGATATCACTTTCTTCGATGCTTTTACATTTTGATAATAAATTAAGAGTTTGTAATTAAATTATTAAGAAGAAATTGAGAAATATACAGAGATGGACAGAAACGATATATGAAAAAAGGATGCATAGATCGACCTATATAATCAGAGAAAATCAACACAACAAAGGACACGCTATTCTCTCTTAAAAAGTGTTATCATTATGATTTAACTTTACTGTTCAAAATAACAATTTCATCCAAATTTCAAACTAAACCTACCTGCYTTGAGTCCAGTTACTAGCCTTCTGAAAGAACTATCTGAAAAAAGACAAAATTAAGCACGAATCAGTCGATGGTAAAAACAGTCTCTAGGACTGGCTATAATTGCTGAAAGGCAAGCTTATGAGGAGACAAGTATGTCTGTACTGTAAATAAACTAAAATGTTTGTTCCTTTTTTTGTTATTTGTTTGGCAAAAGTGATTTTAAGGGTTTTCACAAGATAAAAAGTGTATTTTAAYAATATATTTTCACCTAGCTTGCATTTTTGCTTGTCACTGAAGAGGTGGTAGAAGAATTGTTTAGGGATTTACTTTAAGTGGCGTAGTACGTACGAAAAGAAAAACAATGAAAACTATCTTTGCAAATTCCTAAATTTCATTCTCGGAAACCAGACCAGAGGTAATCTACTAAATTTAACTCATTGAAGCGAGGAACGAGCGATAGAAGAGTGYCCCTTGCAGGCTCCAGGGTATGTGATAATATCTTCGAGCGGTTTGGTTTCAAGTCGTATTCAAATGYCTGTTTGTTGTTGTTGTTATTTCTTTTCCTACTTGATATCCATTACAAAGAATAGGATTTTTTATAGTCAAAAGATGCATTGATTAAAAACATGCATTAAAGAATCTCATATTTTGTCTGAAAGATTAGGAATTTCCAAATATGGTCCGAAGMTGTAACTGCAAGAAAAGATCTAGACCCTAGCTATTTGTGTCATCATGGTTTCAAGTGTTTTGAACTCAATTCYCTCAACTAATAAGGAAATCGTAAGATATGGTTACGCATCGAATTTTGAACGGAAAAATCTATTTACATTCAACACTTACTCAGTTTTATCTTAAATAGTTGACGAGTTTCGCGATCTCCTTTATGCTGCGTTAGCCTCAATTGTATGCAAAATATTCAGAAATTTAAGTAAAACTTGTGAAATTTCAAACTATTACCATTGTCTTCTATACTCACGAATCTCTTGCATTTTCACAGACTGTTTGTGAATAAATAGAGGATATTACATGGGCGTGCGGAGATACGGATTTTATTTTCGCATATAATTGTATATGAAAGCAAATTATGTCGTAAAATAACTTTTTTTACTTCCACTATATAGAGAAAAACCGAATGTGTTATTTTCACTAGTAAAAATAACATGTTATTTGCACTCGTGAAGATATCAAGTTTACGAAATGGAGAAATATAGGTATTTCATAGATAMTTATATGTTAAATGAATTTATTACATGGTTTTGAGGCTAACACAGCGTAAAAGAGATAAAAGGGTTTATTCCTATGTCAAAATCATAATCTTCCTAAAACGTGAAAATGAAACTTACGTCTTGGAACCTTCCTATCGCTGCATCATCTTGTCTRAATACTCTATTTTTGTGAACAATTTTAAATAAGACAAATGCATCTTTTTTTTACTGTAGCGACCGAATGGGATCATGGGGCATTTATGCAAATTTAAGTCAACACTATAATGGCGGCATACTTTAGTTTTAATATTTTTTGTTATGTTTAACTAGTAATTTAAACACAATTAAAAATTGTCTTATCGAGAATATTCTCAGATTTGGTCTAGTAAGAAATTCAATCCGACTAAGTGCAATTTTATGGATTTGATGTTGGATTTAAAGCTGCAACGCAAAGCTCAATATATTTTGCAGCTGATGGTTTCACAAGTATTAAAAAAAATAGCAACCAGTTTATACAAGGCATTAGAGGCATTAAAAGCTATTCTAATAGATTGTTCATAACAAAAAGTGGGCGAAACAGTTCTAGAACATT